AGCAGCGCTGACTAGAAGGCTTCAGAAGAAGCAGAATGCGCTGCTGCTGGCAAATCAGCTTCATGGCTCTGCTGCTGGGGGAGGGGGTGCAGGTGGGGCTCCGGGCGGAGGAGGAGGCGCAGGGGGAGCGGGAGGTGTGGGGTTGGTTGGGGGAGTGGGGGTTGGCGGGTTGGGAGGCGGGGGTTTTGCAGCAGAAGCAGAGACGCGAGCGCGAGTGGTCAGGGTTCGAGTCTCGGTGGCGCCTATTTCTGCAGGGAGAGGAGGGCAGGGAGGAGAAGCGGGCGGAGGGGTGAGTGGCGTTGTGGGTATGCCCGTTGGGAGGGGGCATGACGGGCCTATGGGGGATTCTGGGCCGTCCTGGGTGGTAACCCGAGTGGAGAAGGTTACAGATGGGGCGGATGGGGAGGATGATGGGGTTACTGATGCCGAGATTTGGGCTTGGATTGGAAACGGTGCTGGCAGTGCGGAAGCAGCATATGGAGCAACAGCAGCAACAGCAGCAGCAGCAGCAGCAGCAGCAGCAAAAACAGCATGTGGGTTTATCAAGTCACCAGGGCGTCAAGGGTGGTCCTGAATGCTTCCCAGGCAGTGGAGCAGGGGAAGAAACATTACAGGGCAGAAGCTTGAATCCTCAGCAGGTCAGGCGGCATCTCAGCAACAGCCGGAGCAGCAGCAGCAGCAGCAGCAGCAGCAGCAGCAGCAGCAGCAGCAGCAGCAGCAGCAGCAGCAGCAGCAGCAGCAGCAGCAGCAGCAGCAGCAGCAGCAGCAGCAGCAGCAGCAGCAGCAGCAGCAGCAGCAGCAGCAGCAGCAGCAGCAGCAGCAGCAGCAGCAGCAGCAGCAGCAGCAGCAGCAGCAGCAGCAGCAGCAGCAGCAGCAGCAGCAGCAGCAGCAGCAGCTGGGTGTTGCTCGTGGGGCAGGGAAGAGCGATTTGCTGATTACAGGAGAGGCTACTGTGGCAGCGGTGGCAGTGGCAGCTGGTAAAGCAGCACGGAAGAGCGCAGACTTAGGAACAGCAGGGGCGTTTGCGCCAGGGGCAGGTTCTACTGGGGGAGGCGTAGCTGTTGCTGGTGGAGTGGGAGGGGAGACATTTGGGACCGGGTTACACGATGCGGTTCGAGTGTTTGTGAAATCGGCTTCTGTTCCTTCAGGTAGGGGTAAGAGCAGCCAAAAAGAGGCTGATGCTGTTGCTGCTAGTGGTGGCGCTGCTGGGACTGACAATCTGGCTGCTGCTGCTGCTGCTGTGATGGAGGGGGATACTGGGAGCGATAAGGCTGGGAAGGAGGGAAGTGGGGCGACTTGGATTCCTGGTGCGTGTGGCAAGGGGGGTGGTGGTAAAGGGGGGAAGGAGGGGGGTGGCAAGGGTGAGGAGAAGAAGCAGCGTGGGAAGAAGGGGAAGGAGGAGAAGATGAGAGAAAGGGAGTTGGAGAGGGAGAAGGAGAAGGAGAAGGAGAAGGAGAGGGAGAAGGAGAAGGAGAAGGAGAAGGAGAGGGAGAAGGAAAGGGAGAAGAGACAGGCGGAGGTGGAGGCTCCTCGTGAGAGTGAGTCAGGTAAGTTGAAAGAGAAAGAACAGGGAAGGAAGGAGGAGGAGAGTGAGAAGGAGAAAGGAAAGAAGACTCAGAAGGAGGAAGGAAAGAAGGGGAAACTCAAGGAGAAGGAGAAGTCTGCAGAGACTGAAGGGATGAAGGAGAAGGGATTGAAAAGCAGTTCAGGGGTGGCTGGAGATAAAAAGGGAGAGCATGGGAAGGAGGAGAAGAAGCAGGAGGAGGGTGGGAAGGAGGAGAAGAAGGTGGGAGTGGTTGAGAAGCAAGGCGTGGGGGAGAAGCTATGGGCTGTTGACAGGAAGGTTGCAGAGGAGAAGCAAGGTGCTGTTGAGACGGGGAAGAAGAAGAAGAAGGGCCAGGCAGCAGCACGTGAGGATGCCGCTGTAGCTTCAACTGCGGGCGCTGCTGCTGTAGCTGCTGCACCCGCTCCTGTGGTCGCAGCAGAGAAACCTGCTGGGGCAAAAGAGAAGGAGAGCGCAGAGCTTGGTAAGTCCGCTGGCAGTGAGGATTCGACCAGGACCGGAGGGAAGCAGGTAGGAGAAGGGAAGGGAAGGAAGGAAGGGAAGGAGAGAGGCAAGGATCAGCCGAAGCTGGTCCCTGTGTCCGCCGTTACTGTTTCTGGATCCCCCTGTGGTTCGCTCTCCGGTAGAGAGCCCAACAAAGGAGGGTGGTAGTGGGAAGAAGCAGGGGTCTGGAGAGAAGGAAAGGGAAGGAGGCGTAGAGAAGGTGAAAGAGGTGTCAGGAAATAGGAGGTCTGCTGTGGCCTCTCCTCCTCGTGCTCCCAGACAGCCGTCTCCGTCCCCAGCAGCTGGTCAAATCGCTGGTAGCAGTAGCAAAAAGGATGCCTCAGGGGCTGGGACCAGTGCTGCTTCTGGAGCTGCTGCTGGTGCCCCTTCTGCTGCTGCGGCTGCCACTGGTGGTGTTGTCTCAGCGAACGATCTTGCTCTGGCTGGTGCGAAACCAGTGGCCATTGGGAAGACTGCTGCTCGGGCGCTGCTCCTGCAGCAGAAGGAGCAGCAGGCAACGCAGCAGAAGCTTCAGCAGCAGCAGCAGCAGCAGCAGCAGCAGCCGAAGCTTCTTCCGAATGGGAAGGCGGGTCGTGGGTCTGTAGCAGCAGCGGGTGCATCTGGCATGAGGGTTACCCCAGAGAAAGCAGGTTTGGCTGTCGGACGGGGCAAAGCTGCTGCTCCAGGTGGATCAGCTGGCTCCTCTGGTTTACCCTCTGGCAGGCAAGTTGCTCGTTCCTTCTCTCGCTCCCCACCACCACCAGACCCCTTTGCTCCCCCTGCAGAAGCAGCAGCATCGGCACCAGCAGCTGCAGCACGGCCAACAGCAGTTGGCGAAGCTGCTGCACACAACTGGCACGTTCCGATATCTGCCTCCTTCTCTTCACCTCTGCCTGCGGGAGTAGGGGGGATCGGAGGTGTGGGAGGAGGAGGAGGCGGAGGAGGAGGAGCGAGCAGGATGGCATCTATTCCCAAGGCTCCTTCCTTTGTCAACACCTGTTCCGACCCTATCCTGGTGCATCGGCGCCTTCCCCCCTCCTCCACCCCTGTCGCAATCGGCAGCGGCAGCAGCACCAGTAGTGGCGGCGGCGGCGGTAATGGTGCTGGTTCGGCTGCTGCAGATTCCTGGAAGGTTCCAGGGTTACTGAGCCCGGGTAGTCGAGTGGGGAGTTTTCTTGGTGGGGGGAGTAGCAGTGGGGGGAGCGGTGGCAGCAGGGGGGAGCTGGCAGCTGCTGCGGATTTGGCAGTAGGCTCGTTTGCCAGGAGTGGTAGCAGGGAGGATGGGATGCATGGAGCTGTGGCGTTTGGTGGCAGTCCTGCTGCTGCTGCTGCTGCTGCTGCTGCTGGTGGTGTTGGTGGTGGTGTGGGGGGTACAGGGGTTGCTGCAGCTTCAAGGGGTGGGGTGCGGTTGGAAGGTTCTTCAGGTGGTGGGCTGGCAGGAGCGGGTGAAGATGAAGCAGCTGTGTACGACTTGTGGGGTAACCATTTCGACCACCTTGCATCGTTTGGGACATCCCCGCACCCAACAGGCATCTCCCACCCATCGAGCCTCTTCTTTTCAGACCGAGGCTTTCTAACTGCCTCTCCTCCGCCCACTTCCTCCTCTGTATCCCACTCCTCGGGAATCCTTGGGCCTTCACTCATCCACGGCTCGCCCTCCTCTCCTCGCTCCCCGCGCGTGATTGCACCACCTGCCAGAGCGAGGGATGCCCTATCCCCTCCTCGTGACCAGTATCTCTTCTCCTCTACCATCTCTGGAACTCCTGAGGCTGACGGCCTTCCCCGTCGCCCCTCCACGGAGCTCTTCTCGTCTCCTTTTGGGGGATTTTCTCTCTTTCCTACAACTTCACTGTCTGCTTCTTCGCCTGGAGATGTTGTTCTAGGCCCTCCTTCCAGGTCTGCTTCTCCCGCCCCATACGGATACCCCGATAGAGGGGGTGGGTTGGGAGCAGGAGGTGTGGGTTTGGGAGGCGAAGGTGCGGTTACGGCTGGTGGGTTGTTTGGACAGGATTCAGGGGACGCAGGCCTGCAGGGTCCTGTGAGCTCCCCGTTCGGGTTTGGGGTTTCAGGAATCGACATGGACGCGTATCTGAATGGTGGGGTTGCAACGGATGCCAGCAGCCCTGCGTTCATGAGGACTTCAGATGTGGAGTCGTTCTGGTCGCACGGGGCTCCAGAGCAAGCGCTCCATGCGCATATTTCTTCTAGCGGAGAGAGTGATGACACAAGCGCACAGCCATGAAGACGTGATTATACGAGTACTACACTCGGAAGATGTGAAGTACTGGCACAGCCACTGTCAGTATCAAGCAAGTTTCCCTGAAAGCATGTGACATCTTGTAAAGTGAGGCGTTAGTTGAATCACTAGCAGACAGCAATGTCAGGTTGTTCATACGGTATGAGTGCATCCTTGTACGGTACAATTGTTTTGTTTAAAATTCACACTAAAATCACGTGCTTTTGTTGATGCAATTGCCATTCCAGGATGTACCATCAATCTGCACAGAACAAGGGATATTGGTAGGTGGAGATATTTGTGGAGCACCAGAGGTTGGCCCTAATAAAAAGATGAAGTTGCTGCACAAAGTGGAAACCAGCTCAAAATGCTGCACTGAGTACGCGTTGGTGTGCTGTCTGCTGGTTGGAGCATAGAGTATACCGTATCAGCGTATATCAAGGTGCAACAATAGCCTTGCAGGGCGACCCATGGATCTGGCAACGTTTGCCTTCTCTTCCTGCTCCACCTCATATCCAGATTTGAGATACAACAGTCGCGCAGGGTCGTTGTTCTTGACTACATGAACATACAGATGCTCCACACCTGCAGCCCAGGTAAGACGAGTGTAAGTCCACTGAAACAGGATTACCCGAGAGGCAGACACACATTTGAGCAGATGGCAAGTAGTTGTAACTCACCCCAACTCCGTGCAAGATCTCGTGCTGATTGCATCAATCTGTAGGCGACTCCAAGTCTTCTTGCAGCAGGCGCCACGCAAACATTAGATAGATAGGCTCGTCTTGACTCTATGTGCAAGCCCTGAGCACAAAGTATTGCCAGTCGGTTACCACTTGATGACGAGTAAAACGACCTAATATTCGCTTTTGATTAGTGAGCACCTTATCAGGGTGCTGTCCGCAAAGATTTTCACCAGGCAAGCGAAGCCCTAAATTCAGGTCCAAAGTTCCAACAACCCATCCTTGAGCGACTTGCAGAGATGCACGCTGAGTACGAGGATAACAAGAACATGCAGTCAGTCAACGTCAACAAAAGAACGAGATTTCTTCTGAAAACCAACGACCTTACAGGCTCTTGACCAGGTTGCAAGATTGCGCCGCTGGGTTCAGGTACGGTCGCCACTAAACATGAGACCCGGTTGAAGCCAGGAAGGAGTCCAGCAACCTTATCTTCCAAGCATTGAGCCTCCTCCATAGCCTTCGTAAACAAATGTCGCTGCAAATGGAACCATATATTAGGTTACGTCCAGTTCTGCGGAGAGAAAAAAAGGGACAAAGGGGGAAAGTGGCGGAAAGCTACTGCGATCTGTACCTCCACGAATTCTGATGAGCGGTCAGGGGGACAAGTGAAGAAGCAAAACGACCGCAAAGACGCAGCAGCTCTGAGTTCGGTTGATGATACCGCCTCTTCCACTCGTACGGTACATGGAGACGAGGCAAGTTCGGCTCTGCTCCATGAACTAAAGTGTGGAGAGCGCAAACCCTTCGACAATTTGATCGCCTTAGGAGATGCGACCCTTACTCTTATCCTTGAAGCTTCAAGGCATGTCGAGGGGAATGCATTCGGAAGTCTATACAGGCAAACGGCACCACACGCCATGGTAATCCTAATTTCGCTTGAAACTTTCTGTGAATTACCACGACTACATCACATCGCGAAACTTGAAAAAAATGCAACATCGGACAGCATCGGACTTTCTCTCATCATTTTCAAGGTGTAACACAGCGTGATTGTAACTTTCGCTTGGCGTCGCAATGGTCCAATATTACCCATCTTCACTTCCCAACGACCGACAGCGCTTGCTATTCTCCTTTCAAAGAGAGCCGTCCAATGTACCTTTTGAAGTGGATGTCTTACACGTGTGTCAAGTCATGGAGCGTAGATTCTGGAATTTCTGGGAGACCCCACACGCCGACGTCCACTGACAGCCGTTTTTGTGGCTGTAACTGGGAGACCCCTGAACCCTCATCCACGTCATCGTGGGCGCACCTCCACCACACTGGGACCCCTGGTGGCAGGCAATTGAGCCAGATCAGTTATATTCCACCAGTCATCGAGTCGCGGTCGAATGGCAGGTGCTGGGGATTCCCAGGACAAGAAAATTTGTGCTGCCCAGATTTTGGTGCTGCTGACATGGGAACAGCTGACTAGCACAGGACATGCAGCTGGGCTGCTTGGGCAGCGACAAAACCAAAACCAGACAGTAGTCGAGATGGTGAACCTCAAGCTGGGAACGGGTCGTGCAGAAGTAGCCTAGACAGCTCTACTTCCAAGGTGCACTACTCACCAACAAACTAGACCTGGCAGGCTCTTTTTTTGTTTGTTTTATATCTCCCACGGTGAGATCGCGTCGCTTCCCCGCGATAATAATTTCACGTGACTTGCACAACTCGTTCTAGTTGCACGAGCTCGACGCGATTTGAGTGTGCGTTGAGGAGAGCAATATGGCCCTCGCGGGCCGAAGATTAGCTCAGGCGGCTGGATCGGTCATAGGATCGCAAGCAGCTGTATTTTGGAGGCAGTTTTCCAATCTGTCGCGAGAAGTCGCACCCGCGCGGCGACTAGCCGCAGAACCTCAACATGCTTTGAGCGGTGCCGACAGAAGAATACAATGGGTCTTTTTGGGTTCACCCGGAGCAGGGAAGGGTACATACGCGAGCAGACTGAGCAAGTACCTTAACATTGCTCATATCTCCACGGGCGATCTGGTTCGCGAGGAGTTGAAGAACGGATCGCCGATCGCGATCAAGGCAAGTGTGGAGGGCGTTGACGGAAAAGTTATTTTCAAGTCATGCTAATTGACAATGTACTGAGCGCACGGCACGCGGATCGTGTAATCTCCATTGCAGGTGCAAGAAGTGATGAATCGCGGTCAGCTTCTTTCCGATGATATCATCTTCGATCTTCTGTCGAAACGGCTAGAGCAGGGTGTTGTCACGGGCGAAGGTGGCTTCATTCTGGACGGATTTCCTCGCACAGCCGTACAAGCAGTAAGTTTCACGGGGGCTTGGGAGGCTAATACGTCGCCATTCGCATGCTAGTAAGCTGTTAGCGCGACGACCGTTAATCTGCTTGTGAGTGGAGTCACTCATTTGCCCCGTTTCGGCTCTAGCAGGGTGGTGATAGCCAGATGTCTCCTTGTATACGTTCCTGATCCTTTCATCCTTTTCCCTTGCAGGAAGTATTGGAGTCCATGACACAGATTGACCTGGCTGTGAACTTAACTCTTCGGGAGGAAGTTCTGGTTCAGAAGATGCTGGGGCGTAGATTATGTTCAGACTGTGGTGGTAATTACAATGTTGCTAACATTGACTTTCCCGCACAAGATGGAAAGCCAGCCATTTTCATGCCTCCACTGCCAGCACCAGCTGGTTGTGAAGGCAAGCTTGTCCAAAGGGCGGATGACACAGAGGAAACAGTTCTGGCTCGTCTGAAGGTTTATGAAGAACTGGTGAGGCTCCGTCAGGCGTTTTGGCCCTGGACGTGTCTTGGTTTTTTCTGTTTCTAAACTGAATCCACCTTCTGGCATGTTCCCTGTGCAGAGCAAACCTGTGGAGGACTTCTACCATGAAAGAGGCCGCTTGATAGAGTTCGAAATTATGGGTGGGATTCCTGAGACATGGCCACGTTTGTTAGCATTTTTAGGAGTTGAGGGCCAGTGTGAGGCACTGGAAAGCGGTTCTAGGTAATGAGGAAAGCATAGGTACCTTTAGGTAGTTAGCCACCTGGACCAGTTAGGTTTTGCCATGTCCACCAATTATATGTCAAGCATATATTGTCTGTGTCCTTCAAGCCATAAGTGAAGGTGTGGTATTACAGTACAGGAGTGTAAAAGGGCATGGCAATTTTGCCACTACCGTAAATTGTTCAAACTTGGTAGTTAAAAGATCAAGTAAACGAACAGCTGCTGGGTGGATACTTTGTAACATCACTAAATTCTTAAGTTTTCAGTGATATGGTGTACATTTTGCAACAAGATATGCTTAGATATACCAGCTTCATGTCTTCAACAGGTCAGTGTATAGCTCCTCACCAGACTTTCACCTCGCTTTTTGAAAGCAAAGAACAAAGCCCCAAAAGTGTTAGCGCAGAAGTGCAGAACGTGAGGGTAGTAGTTCACGCGGCGCCTGTCAGGGGGTAAATGCGCGCTGATTTGCCGCTTCCTGTATCCTGGCTTCAAATTCTTCGCCGCTCCTTCCATTCGCATCGCACACTCTTCGCAAAACGGTTTGCGAATCTCTTACGAGCATTCAGAGCATCGCCGCGCAGAGAATCACCCCACACGTAGTCGCAGAAGCAGGTGAATTCGAAGGTCATCTGGGATCCATTCAATCGCATGCCGTTTGCACGAGCCATAGTTACAAGCCGTACGATCTTCAGAAGCGTCGCAATCGCAACGCAACGCAGTCCCCTGTCGCTCCCGTTTCTAGCATCTTCCATCAGTTCACTTCCCTCCTTTTTTTCCCAGGAGTCAGGATGCCTCGGATCTGGATTCTGGAACTTCGCTACACACACCAGCAGTAGTCAGGCAAATGACCCACAAGCTTTGCCTGGAACCATATTTGATCAGTGCCACAGTCACTTGGTACACTTCTAACTGGAGTCTCGGTTGTGTTGTTCCCTCCTCCAGACGAATTAGCCCTAGATTACAGGACGTGCAAGATAGAGGCTAGTTCTTAGGAGGTTAGACCTGATCCGCGTAGTTGTCAGTCTCTTTCCGCGGAGCCGTTTTGGTTTCCATCTTGAAGTGCTAAAGCTCTTGATTGGTGTTTCCTCCTTACAGTATGGATATTACGCAGGTTCTTCTAAATGCCCAGTCTCCTGATGGAAATGTCAGAAGGTTGGCGGAGGAAAACTTGAAGCAGCTTCAGGATTCCAACTTTCCGGCATACCTAGTTTCCTTGTCCCTGGAGCTTGCGAATCCGGAAAAGCAGACAGATTCTCGGCGGCTTGCTGGTCTCATTCTGAAAAACTCTCTCGACGCGAAGGAGTCAGTTAGGAAAACC